ACTCATGGGCCACATGACTGTGTTGCTTCTTCTGTATCCTTGATTTTCCTTTTTGTATTTCTTTGTTTTTCTCTGTATGTAACTTACTTATCTGCAGTGAACAATTGAAGATCTAATGTTAGGAGTGATTGTTAAGGAATCAGATAATAATGTTTCCCCACATTATGAATTGACCCAGATTTCCAAACAGCATGCTTTTGCTTCTTTGTTTGTAGTTCTTTTTATTTGTCTAAATTGCTAAACCATTTCAACTTGGGTTATTTTGGCTTTCAGTTTATTTAGCATCATTGTTAATAATGCTTTTTTACATTCTGCTTTGTGGATCTTTTCTGTTAATGGTAGTTTTTTTGGGGGGGAGGAGGTGAGCACCAGTATTTTACATAGGATACTACACATGCTTGTGTGTATAAATACACAAGCACAAGGCAGTGATAGATACCCATAATACCTTTAGCTTTTCACAATCCAGGAATAAAATGGAGAAAAAAAATTTTAATACTCCTAATATTTTTCTTTTCTGGTTGGCCAAATTGAACTCAGGAGAAAAATATCATCTGAAACCACTTTACAACTGAGTTTTTAGGGTAACTATGGATATAGCTACTCTGGGCAGAGTTTATAATCTGGCAACACTCTTGTGTATTTCATTCATTTCGTTTGTATTAGTTGGTGAGAAGCAAGTCAAGGACTGCCTACTTATTATCCAAATAAGTTTCATTATCTCACTGATACTTAACAAGAAGATGGTGGAGAAAGTGTAATTTGAATACTCTCTTGTATTTGTAGGTTCAGTTCTAAGGTGCTTTCCACAGTGACTCACCTTTGCTAGCTTTCCAAAAGTGAGAAACTGAAGGACAGCCCTCATGTAGGATCTGGGGAAGAGGACAGTAGCACAGATGTTTGAACAAGCCATAAAAAAGATAAGAGTGAAAAGCACAATAGCTGAACACCTTAATAGAGGAAAACTTTAAAATGAAAAAAGGAAATGAAGAAAGCAACTACAAATAAAGGGAGACCCTGAAGAAGAAACTTAGAGAAATATACTGAAGAACTGCACCAAACTTACACAGTCAGCAAAATTCAGTCTCAGAGTTTTCCAAACTCTGGAAAATTCTAACAGGTCAAATTACCTGATTTTTCCACACGTAAATTGTACAACAAGTGTTGTAGCAAGCGTGGGCGAGAAACCCTTAGATTAAAAGTGACTTCCGCTGTATTAGGTTATTTTATAATGAACATGACTAAACTCTAGGGATAGATATTGGGGTGAAAAACTATTTTTAAAATGCAGAGATGTCTTCATTTCTTATAAAAATGAGGGTAATGATTATTTTCAAGATGGGTACTGAGACACGGGGAAGGAACTTTTGGAATGTCCAGCGAAGTTCTGTTTCCTCACTGGATGGTATTTGCCTTGAAATAATTCATTAAGTCATACATTTGTTATTTATAGTTTTATGTATCTATGCTTTATTTTGCAATTAAAAGGACTAAAAACACATCAGTCTAGTTTTACACACTTTAAGAGTTGTTCTGGATGGTCAAGGAGCTACCAATTTTAATTTTTGTTTCATGTATGTGTTTTTTGTAACTGTACTTACACTAAATGTGTCTTATATATGTGACTTGAAAGTAATAAAATGACCATAATTTGATACAGCCTCTTTGGAAATCAATATGGAGCTTCCTCAAAAAAATTAAAAATAGAACTAGCAGCTCCAAAGCCAAATATCTAAAAATATCTAAAAATAATCTAGCAGCTCTAATGCCCAATATCTGTCTGAAAAATATGAAAACACTAATTTGAAAAGACGTATGCATCCCTATGTTCATTGCAGCACTATTTACAATAGCCAAAGTGTGGAAGCAACTCAAGTACCCTTTGATGGGTAAATGAATAAACACAATGTAGTATGTATACACAATGGAATAGTATGCAGCTTTAATAAATAGATGAAATCTTGCCATTTTATGAAACTTGAGAGGATTATGCTAAGTGAAATAAGTCAAAAGAAGAAAGATAAATATCAATTCACTCATATAGAATATAATCAAAATAAATGACAAAATAAATGGACAGACCAAAAAAAAAGCACAACAAAAGCAAACTCGTAGACAGAACTGAGGTTACCAGAGAGAAGAAGGTGGGAATAAAGAGTGGTGAGTATATGTATAAAACATACACAGTGTTGTAAACCATATTATCTCAAATTAAATAATAGCTATAATATATTTCAAATTAAATTTGTGAATAATAACCACCGAGCATCTTAGCAGTTGGCTAAATGAGATTGAAGGAAGGTAATTTATAGCAGGCAGAGTTCTCTAATGAGATCTAGAAAATTTTTTGTTTTACTTTCTTTACTTACAGCCATAAGGGTAAGCTTAGTTTCTTTTATGCATAATTTTAACTGTTGGATAATTTGTATAGTAATAAGTGATCTGTTCAATTTCAAGATTATAATACCAATAGTTCTTTGCTTAAAAAGGAAAAAGAACAAAGTATTATGTGAAGTGTGAAGTAAGTCCAATTATATTCATTATGCTAGGTGGGTGGTCCTCTCATTTTTTAGCAAAACATTACTCTAGCACTTTAAAATAGAGAATATTAGGTACAGTCATTAGATAGCAAATTAAATCACATATGTATAAATAGCTTTTAACTTTTTGTTGGAAAAAAATGGGACTAATTTATTTTTTTGGCTCTATACCAACTAAAGAATTACCTTCTATCCTGCATATAATACCTAGTTCCTGTGTGATGCATTTCTCTTCACATTTTCTTGTAATACTGCATAAAGTGTATGGCATTAGTGAATTTAATAATTTGGAGAACAAATATTGATAGTAAGTTCCCTCAATATGAAAATTGAGGAGGAAATAAAAATGTGCTATATCTATATAATTCACTCGTTTTTTCAAATATTTTATTTGACTGCTATCAGAAGTGCAAATTTAATTTCAGCCCTTGCTATAAATTTTGGGGAAGCAAATAGGTAATTTGTTTGGTATGTTAGGGAGTGAGAGAGGTGGTGGTTTTGGGGGTGGTGTGGTATCATGGTGGTAGAGCAAGAGAGAGGTGGTTGGGTGTTTGATTTTGCTTTGTTCTTCCGTGATGTGAATGTATTTAGCTAAAGAATGTATGATATGGAATTGGACTTTCACTTTTCGATGGTGTATCTTTTTTTCTGAAACAAGAGTTCATATCAAGACCCAAATATTGATAAGCTAAGAAACATGCCAAGTGAAAGAAGCTGATCACAGAAGGCCATATATTGTACAATTTCATCTGTGCTCAGCGAAATAAGCCAGAAAGAAAAAGAAAAATACTGGATGGTCTCATTCATAGCAGGAATCTAGAAAACTTAAATAAGGGACCAGGAAAATGAATAACTATAAGAAAGTGAAAATCAAAATCAACAAAAAACTATGAACCAGAGACACTCTATGGGGAGTAGGGGGCGGGGAGGGGAGGGATTGGGGTCAAAATAAGGGGGTTACAATTGTATGGGGAATATAAAAAAAAAAAAAAAAAAAAGAAATTCCCTGAATAGGCAAATCCATAAAAGCAGAATAGAAGAGTATGTTGCTAGGGTCTGAACTCACTGGGGGTTATGTTCTAGTGGGCATTATGTTTCTTTTTGAGGTGATGAGAATGTTCTGGAATTAGATAGTGGTGATGGTTGCACAACTCTGAATACACTAAAACCACTGTACTTACTGCCCACTGCTCTGGCTGAGATTGGGCAAGTGCTCCGCTGTCTCCCCACTGGCCTCTCTCCCACTCCCTGCGGTGAGGGTCCCCCAGTTGAAGACCTAGATATGGTTAGCAAACCACTATATTTCAAAATGAAAGTATATTGTCAGATGGAGATGAACCAAATAAAACTGGTGCCACTACTTCACTTTCTCTCTGTATGACAACAATATGTTATGAGTAGAGAGAAATAAATTAAATCATAAATGCATATTGCACACTGGTCTTCTTTTTGCATTTCTGTCATGGAAAACTTCCCATTTTTTCTCTTTGTCAAAAACCTTAGGATAAACCTCTTAAAATGTTCATGACCTGCAGTTTGGGTACCTGTTGCAAAATAGCCTTTACAGTAGTTGATATATCTTTGGCTTTATTCTTTGTCCCAGGTGTTTCTTCTCTAAAAAGTGTCCTCCACCAGGAAAATGAATAACTATAAGAAAGTGAAAAACAAAATCAACAAAAAACTATGAACCAGAGACACTTTTTGGGGGGTGGGGGGCGGGAGGGGAGGGATTGGGGTCAGAATGGGGGGGTTGAAATTGTATGGGGAATATAAAAATAAAATTTATTATTATAAAAAAAATAAAAAAATAAAAAGTGTCCTCCTTTATTCCCAACTGTTACTTCTCCTAGTCTACCTGTTTAGATCTCAGTACCCCCAAACCGTCATCTCTTACATTAACACTTTTTCCACTAAAGAGTGCCTGCCTCCTAAACATGCCTGCTTCCAGCAAACAATTAGGGAAACTTTTGATTTTCCAGGCTTACAGAAGAGAGAAAACAGGAGTAAGCCCAAGCTGTTTCTAGTCTAAAATCAATCTATTTTAACCACTAGATTAAAATGGACAGCCATTTTAAACAGTCACATTATCAGTAGACCTTGTCACCAGACTCACCATGTCAAATCTTCCTGAACAATAGTGTGACTAAAGTATATAACCAGCGATAATGTTGCTGAATCTCATTTTATTTTTGGAAACAATTTTTGAAATATTGATAAAAGGAACTAGTTTTGGTTTACTTTCAACAGAAAAGTTAAACATTATAAAATAGTTGCTGAATATATTTAATTATAAGTCCTGATGGCCATGTGTTTTCATCATGCTGCATGTTATGCCAGAAATAAATGAAGCTCCCGAAATGGTCATCATTCAGCAGCATCAATGTACATGTGCATCATTTTATTAGAGATATTAACTCCTTTTATTTTAATGAGAAAAATGTAATTTTTTCAACTCTATAGACAACATCTGGGGAAGATGTGCGAGACTTCACAAAGGTTCTGAAGAATAAGTTCAGATCAAAGAAATACTTTGCCAAACATCCTCGCCTTGGCTACCTGCCTGTCCAGACAGTTCTTGAAGGTGACAACTTAGAGACGTAAGTTTGATTTTAGTACGAAAACTTCTCTCATATTTATATTGCCTTTTATTATATTAGTGACACAGGATAAATTTGTGTTTGGGTAAAATGTTTCATTTTTTAAAAAGAGGTAAATTAAACTTGGAAGCAATCTCCACAGCATAAATTTCTACTATTTGATTTTGCTGTCACGTCTAAAATTCCAAATTTAATCATAACTATGTTCCTAAACTTTCAAAATATGTAAGAATGTGTCAGCCTTTACACTAGTCATCTCATTTCCTTTTAAAATACTAAAGGCAAATTGTATTATATACTGTTCCATTGTTTATTTTCTATTTCCCCCCTGTTGGGGATTTATTTTACTATTTCTTATATGTTTTATATCTATTTATACAGTTCAATATTCATTTATAATAAGTCTCTTGTTTCAGATATATACCTTTGCTCTTATCAAGATTTCATATTACAGTTCAAATTTCTCTATTTCTTGAATATGAGTATGGCTAAACAGACATGGAATAGAAAAAATTTCTTAGAGTTTACAAGCATAAATAAAACAAAGTTTCAAGGTAACAAAATTACTGTGGAATTATAAAACAAATGAAAATATGAATTTATAAAATGAAATGAAAAAGAATTTTTAAAATGAGCCAGAAAAATATGCAAGAACTTTAATTGAAAACAATTGCATGTCAAGACCAAAATCGATACAGTTTTAAATCTTCAGATCATTTTTTTTTTTTTTTAAGATTTATTTATTCAGGAAAATGAATATAAGAAAGTGAAAATCAAAATCAACAAAAAAAACTATGAACCAGAGACACTTTTTGGGGGGTGGGGGGCGGGAGGGGAAGGATTGGGGTCAGAATGGGGCGTTTGCAATTGTATGGGGGAATATAAAAATAAAATTTAATAAAAAAAAAAAAAAAAAAAAAAAAAAAAAAAGAGTACAAAAAAAAAAAAAAAAAAAAAGATTTATTTATTTATACAAGCACTGGGTACAGTCAAAAGCGTGGGAGGGTGAGAGATTTCACCAGAGCCAGAGTGGGGAACAGAACAGGCAGACTGACGAAATACACTGCTGTGGCAGACTGATGAAATACACTGCTGAGGGGAGCAGCGGGCACGGCAGGAGAGGTCTGCGCGCCATGTGGGACCCTCACCAGTGGCCGGGGATCAAACCGGTGCTGCAGAGGCTGCTGGCAGCTTTGCAGCCCAGCACTTAACCCCTGCACCACCAGGGAGGCCCCTTCAAATCATTTTTTAAACTATCAGTTTAAATATGCCTACCAAGGCAATTTTCTTGTGCTTGAATCTTAGGGAAAATCAGTCATTGAAAAATAGTGACGTTCTAGTTACAGAGAGATGGCCTCTCAGTGACCATGGAAGTGAAGCACAAAAGTGTGACATTTTCTACATTCTTGAGAATATTGTAGCAAGAAGTATAAAAAGTATGTGAATACAATTTTTGTAAAGTCAAACTTGAATCTTTAAAACTCATAGCTCATTATATTGCATATGTGAAAGATAATCAAAGAGCAGCAAGAGTGTCTTATGACAGTTCATATCTCAAAGGCGTCAAAATACAGGGAAAAACTATTTGATCTGAATTTTTTTCCCATAGAAAGCCCTGTAGACCAAACAGAAGGCTTTACTAATTGAATGTACAGATGCATTTTTTTTTTTTTAATTTGTGGAACTGCTGAGTAGGAGAAAGACCACAGCCACAGTGCAGGGAAGATGTTTATCACATCTCACTATCATGAATGTTGTAAGTGCTTACAGAAAGAAATAGGATGGAGTTGTGTATGTAGATAGTATAAAAATACCACATACACATTTAAAGTATACAGCAAAAGGGGCCTTCCTGGTGGCACAAGGGGATAAGTCTCAGATTATGAAGCTTTCGCAGCCACTGCAGCACAAGTTCAATCCCCATCCAGGGAGCTACCCACATGGTGCAGCAGACCTCTCCTGTCTCGCCCGCTGCTCCCCTCAGCAGTGTATTTCAGTCAATCTGCCTGTTCTGTTCCCACTCTGTCTCTGGTGAACCCTCTCACCCCTGCAGCTCTGCGCTGTACCCCCAGTTCTTGTATGCATAAATAAATAAATCTTTAAAAAAATAAAGCATACAGCCAAATTCAAGCTTACATTCACTTTGCTTAATATCAGAATCACATAGATGCCTCCCAGTCATTTGTTCCACAGTTTGCTATAGAAAAAAAATTTATTGAAACAATTTCAGTTTGAAGAGAGGTATTCAAATGCTTGAAATCTATAAGGAAAGGTAGATTTTGGTTCTACCTTAGTGTTTTGCGAGTTTACTTTTTCCCTTTTCTTCAAAAAGTTGTATGACACATCCTTATTTGCTTTAGTATCTAATACATACTTTAGCTACGTTTTAACCTCATGATGAAGACAACATTTTACTTCTCTTGGTATTAGGTATTACTTACCCTTTGAAGAAGCTGCCTGAAGCTTAGAATTATCAGGGAGTGATTTTATTTACAGGCTAATTCAGTGGGTTTACACTGCTGATGTACATTCTCTTTGGATAAAGTATTGGCATTTTGTGTCCCAAATATCTATATCCTTCACATGAGCCATGCATATAGATAGATCTTTTACACTCCTTTTATGCATTGTTGAAAATTTGCCTTTCGTTGTCAAAATAATCATGAGCATCAATCGTGCTATTCTGAATGATTCAGTTCAAGTGAAAAAAAAAAGAACAGAAAAGCATGCCAAATAATTTTGTGTTGTGATTTTTTTTTTTTTTTTTTTTTTTTTTTATTTTTATTTATTTATTTGTTTGTTTGTTTGTTTATACATGCACTGGGTACAGTCAGAAGCGCGGGAGGGTGAGAGAATTCACCAGAGCCAGAGCGGGGAGCAGAGCAGGCAGAAGGACCCAAGTACACTGCTGAGGGGAGCAGCGGGCGGCAGGAGAGGTCTGCGCGCCATGTGGGACCCTCCTCCAGTGGCCGGGGAGCAGCTGGGGATCGAACCGGCGCCGCAGAGGCCACGGGCAGCTTCGCAACCCAGCGCTCAACCGCTGCGCCACCGGGGAGGCCCTGTGTTGTGATTTTTAACTGTAACTCTGAAAATGCCTCATTTCATCTAGTGTGAAATAACCAGTATTTTCAGTAAGAGAAAAGCAAGAGAAAGAGAGGAAGGAGTGTAGATTAAATCAGCTGTCATAAAATCATTTTTGAAAAAGATTTATGAGGTACTAGATACAGAGGGCAGATTTTCTTCTTTTTTTAAAAAAAATCCTTGATGTGTTCTTGGACTCAGTATACTTTGTTTTGTGCTGAACTCTTTCTAGTGCAGGCCACTCAACCTTGAGGGATAACCACTTATATGAGTGGGCAGTAAAAATTGAGATTTCATTTTTTCTAATATTTGTGGGAGAACACTGGAGAAAAAATAGTGAATGTGTTGATGTTATTTATGAAGTTAATTAGAATTATCTTTTGCCATTTTCTCTTTCATCCTCACAAAATGTAATGTATTATCCCCTATCCAGTAATTTATACATGCCTGCATGCATAGAAGGAATATATAGGAAAAATGAGTTATTTACTAATAGGTGATAAACAAACCCATGCTAAGTCTTGTCCAATTAATTTTGTAACTATGCAAGATTTTAAAAAAAAACAAAATAAATGAGTAGAGCTTCATTAAAAAAATGACCATTGAAAGTTAAATCTGAGAAACAAGCTAAAATAATGGCAAAAAGTATTCTAAGAATTGTAAGGGATTAATTATTATTTGCTAAAAAAAAAAAAAAAAAAAAAAAAGGTTGAGTTTCCTCAAGAATAGAGTAATAAAATAGACACTTTTTCCATAGTATGGGTTATAGTGGAATAGATGAATTTTGTGATTTTTAAAGTTCTTACTTTAGCATGACCCAACTCAAAGTAAGGCGAATTATGGTTATGGGAACACTGGACTGGGAGGAAGTGACAGCGAAGTTGATGGGGCCAGTGTCTGGTGTGGGAGGAGGAGAGAGGGAGTTTCCAGGCAAGAGAGGCATTTTCAGACAAGAGGTAAAATGGGTAGGAAACTGGGATGGTAATCTGCAAATAGCAGCAAGAAATGAGAGATAATGAAGCCATGGCCAAGTGTGGAGTTTATCCTGCAAGTAGTGGGGAGCCATCGAAGCTTATATGTTAGAGCAGCCTGGGATCATGCTTATTTTGCTTTGAGGCAAATAGATTGGAGAAGGCTAATGACAGAAATCATAAGGAGCAGGCAGCTAAAAATGCAAGGCACAGTAGGGGTCACTAAATTCTTCAAGAAAATCTATGTTACATTTCATGTAACATTAAGTATATTAAGTAGATTCTGACCCCTTGCATATCAGGGTATGATTAGCTAAAACACCCTGTTCAGCCAGCACCTGGAAAGCAGGGATAGGCTGAATTTTTATATCCAGAATAACATATATATATTTTTAGCTCCCATTAATCATAGATTCTAACTATACAGTGGGAAACTTCTTGTGTGTGTGTATGTGTGTGTGTTTCCCCCAGAAATAAATGAGAAAGCTTAACACTTAACAGGGTCGTTTTATTTTTGTCCCTCCAAATCAAAATACTTTGATGTCAATGAAGCCTAAAGTTCAATTTTTTATCTTTTTTTTTTCCTTAAAATTTTTCTCAATATATAAAAAGACTTCTTTTGAGAAACTCTTCAGTTCTGCTTTCTGCCTCAACCATTCATATCTTAGTTCAGTGAACACTTTTGTGCTAACTGAATTAACTTCTCAGAATTAGTTGTTTCCCAAATCTTTCCCAAGTTCAATTAAGACCACAAATACATATTTTTCTTATGTTTAAAGCTCACAGCAAATGTTATGTTACACTTGAGTTTTAGAAATGATCTCTCAAGCAGTTACTATTTTTTAGAAAGTGTATAGCAAATCATTCACTTGACACTGACATCCAAATTTCGGAGTTAATGAAAAGCAATGATGTATAAAGTCTGTTGAATAGCCCTTGCTGTTGTATCTATTTTATATGTAGATAATTAAGTCTAGTTACAATAAGATGTTCTAATAAATAGAGTGAATAAATGCTTTTGAAAGTAAATTCAAGAGCTTTAGTATTTTTCTTCCCAATAAGATAATTCTCCATATTCAAACATCAACTTGTTTTCCAGCAGGTGATAACAATTTCTGAAGTATGTAGGTATAATAGAAATAGCAGAATCTAGTTGATCTAACATGATTTAAACTTTCCTTCTTTGTTTCCAACAGCATTAGCTTTTGTAAGAGACCCTAATTAGAGAACTTCTTTTCTTTAGAATTATAAATTCCACATTCATCAATACCTCTCCTTTATTTTGCTCCCACTTAAAAAAAAAAAAGTTATAGTTTGAACTAGCTTTTAAACTAAGAGCAGACATTTTCAAACACTATTTCCTGGAGACTTGAGGATTTCAGGGCAGTGCTGTGAAGTTGGAGGGTACCCCAAGGTCCCAGGGTGATACAGATGACCAAACCCAAGGTCAGGCAGAACAAGATTTCATTAATCCATTTCATATATTGAACTTTTGGATAAAGTTTTGCTTGAAGGAAATATGTCATGATTACAGAAGTTGCTTTCAGTTTTAATGATAACTTGGCATGAAGTCTAGGGGTGGAAAATTGGGCTTGCATTTTTTTCCCAATGTACTTGTGAAGCTGAGAAGCTTCACATACACCTGGATTTGAATTTCTACACTTAAAACCGGACAAAGAATTGGAAAAATCTCACTTTGTTGCAACTTTCAGACCAAGTTTCTTCTCCAGAAAAGAAAAATCAAAAATATGGTTTTATCTCCCCTGGGAATATTAAATTTTCTGTAAGTTTGAGCTGTTTTAGAGCATTCTTCAAAAATATTTAAAAGATGTATTGGCTGTCCTAGAACAAATACCCTGTTAATATCTGTGAAAAGGACCCTGCAGGCACTTGACTACACGACATCTTCACCAGAATAAACAGTAAACAGTAATTTCTGTTACTTTTGATTTCCCCATGGTGGGCCTCCAGGAAATCCAGCATGTGGGGAAGACAATTGAGAATGTAGCTGCCTCCCGAACTCCCACAGCTTCTGTCATAAATTGCTCTAAAGTGTTTGTTCTGTGACTTTTGTTTCCCTCTCCCCTCTCTGCAGTCCTATCACACTCATCAGTATGTGGCCCGAGAACTATGAGTGAGTATTCACAGCTCCATGTGCAGAAGACGGATGTTCTGATTGGTTTTATTAGCATGGGGGTGTTTACTAAACTCTTCTTATAAAATAATAGTTCCGCCTCCTGGGTAACAATCCTAGCGGTTTGCTTGCATGGCTGATTCCTTATTTAACCGAGCTAACATTCCTAATAGAAACATCTTTCAATAGTTGGGCATAAAACTGTTTCTTTGCATTTTCTCTCACAGCCCCTCCCAGTCTCCTCAGCTGTTCCATGATGACACCCACTCACGAATAGAGCAATACGCCACGAGGTGAGCCCTTTAGGCAGGTCCCAGGCTGCACGGCCACCCAGGATGGGTCTTCTGTATCTCCCCTGTATCATCTAAAACCCTTGATTTAAGGCATGTGGTTTTGCAGGGGTCTGTTCTGTTTGGAATCTGGGCTCTCATCTTTCCATTTTGCAATTTGCACTTTACCAAATAGCTGCTATATGTTTCATGAAGAATAAATCTCAACAGGCTATGATTGATTATTGAACCCATGAGAAGCCAAGTACCATACAAGTAGCATTTAGATAATGTAACCCAGTCATAATGAATGAAAGAGGGAATTGGAAGTGTTCTCAAGAGATGATGCACATCAGAATTACTATACAAAATTAAGTGTGTGCTAATGTTTTATTATAGGGGGTTAGAGTCCCCAAATAATACAAAGTATAGGCTGGACTTGATGAAGTATACACATTTGCGGAGGCATGTACTAGGCATCTGCAGTGCTCATAACTAGCTGTATCTATAATTTCAAGCATCATCTGTTAGTAACATTTGAACTGGATCTTAGTCAAGACCCAGTTGTGGAGAATTTGTGGGGAAAGGCAGGCTTCGGCTAATGGAAAAAAACTATTCAAAACCATTAAACTGAGGAAGAATGTGAGTCATTTAAAGAACTGCATATAGCAAAGGGATCAAGAGTGAGGGGACAGAAGCTGGAGTGATAATTACAAACCCACTTGCCAGTGATGTCCTTAGGAAGAGGGGAGTCACAGAATCACAGAGCCCTTAAACATGGGAGGGGCATAATCAGATTTGTGTGAAAATGAAGACGCAGGAGAGGATCTGGGAGGTCAGTTAGGAACCTGGATCAATTAGGAAACCATATTACATGGTCGAAGATAAAGGCCTACAGGCTTTAAGGCAGTAGTGCTAGAAATGTAAGTCAACATTATGTGTTGTTCTGATTTTACAATCTGAGTAAGAAGTTTGGGCTTTTCTGCATTTTGTCAGGATTATGGCAGTTTGAGAATAATTTATGAGACACCCACCCCCTCCCACACCCCTTGACGTTGCTCTCTCTGGCTTTGTTTCTAACTCCTAATTTTTATTTTTCAGGCTGGCCCAGATGGAAAGGACTAATGGGTCTTTCCTCACTGATAGCAGCTCCACCACAGGAAGTGTGTAAGTAAATCCTGAAATTAGCACCACCTGGAAAGGCTAGTTATTGTACTATGGCTATCGAAAATAATCTTCATAGATTGTGGCTCTGAATCTTGATTCCAAGCAGAATTGCTAAGTGTGCTCGCAAAAGTGACTACACAAATTTTATGTTTTCAAGCCACGATAGTAAACACTGGACATGTACTTACTTATTTGCATGTAAGTCAATGAAAATACCCTGAATTTGTTAACTATCTGCCTCAAGAATATCATTCTTATTTAGAAATAGTGGTCTCTCTGTTTATTCCAATTGTCTTATATTTCTTGTTATTTTAACAAGTAATTGTTAACTTCACAGTTGACTATAATTCCCCAGAATACACACTTTTCTATAAAATCCACTTTCCTTCTGCTTGATCACATTTTCTTCATAATCCTACCACTTAACAACTGCTACCCGCACATACTTGGACATTGCCTCCCCACCTTGGCTTGAAAAGTGTGACTCCTCTGCAATAGTTTATGAGTAACTAGGAAAAGCTTCACTAACTTTTGCAATATTTTTAAAAAGTGTTCCCAGGCAGTTATTTCATCTCTCACGATCCCACTAATATGTGTCATCTGGCTTTTGGGACTTTTCCTACCCCATCCTATTGGAATTAATGTTAAAATTCTGAATCATGTCTGATAGAGTTGAACAATATCAAGTTGACTTGACTTACATGTATGCATTGTGCTTTGGATATGTAGGAAACAAGCAGGTAATCAGGAAAATTGCAGACCATAGTATTTAAAATATTTTATACTAAATAAGAGCCAAATTTAAATACTGTAAGTGCTGTAGTAGAGAATGTGTCCATCAATATTAAAAAAAAACAAACATTTTGCTCTCATTAATCTTATGAATAAAAGTGCTCAGGAGATTTTTCCATCTTAAATTTCAAAGATTAGCATGTTAATACTTTACAGCAGTACAATGCTGGTTTATACATTATTATTCATGTACTATGAATGTGGAAACAATTTCCAAACCAAGTTAGTAGCATATTCATGATTCTTTTTTCCTATTTATCCTACGAGTATGTATTTCATATAAAGTAGTTAAATGTCTTGACTATCTCCTATGTTAGTATTTCCACCAATGTTTGCAATAGCCAAAATAAAGAAAAATAATAGGGAAAGCCAATTTAATTAAAACCAAATTTAAATTCTTAAAATGTCATGTTATATGAACAGTAAGGGTAATGTTCAAACTTAGTAGGTTCTGTCATCAAATTAGAATAAACACAATCTGTCTTCAAATTTAAACTAATGTCTGAGAAAAGTAATCAGATGACTAACAACTAAACATGTTGACATGCTATCATTAGCTATATTAACTCACCCAACTAGCCATTAATATTTATTATATCCCTACCAGGCACTGGTGTCCTGGAGCAAATGTGAGAGCTTATTGTTACATGTTCAGGAAATTTGTTAACTGTTTTATGATTAATTTATGTATACCTAATTAAATGTTTTAGAATAAAATAAAAACAAAGGTAACACTCAAAACTCCTCTCTCCCTAATTGCTTTACTTCATTAACTAGTTCCCTAAGTTCTTGGAGTAATTTATTGCATTTGTCAGGTGGTGGGTAACTGTGTCTTTTTCCAACTCCAAAATCCTGAAGTCATTAATGGCCATGATCAAAGTATTTAAACAATACAAATAACAAATGCTGCAAAGTGGGGTCTTTTTATTTATTTGTCTGACCAAGAGCCTGTTATTAAACCCTGGCCAGCACACTCCTGCCACGCCCCTGGGGTGGAGCTCTGCGGGTGTAGATAGTGCTGGGAATCCTACAGGCAAAGGGGAGAGATGGTCAGGGCATATGTGGCCCTCAGAGAAGGGCCCCCAAAGAAACCCACATCCTAATCCCTGATGTTTATGAATATGTCACTTTATAGAGCAAAAGGGACACACTGCATATATGATTAAGAATCTTGAAGTAGGAGATTCCCTGGGTTTTGTAACAAAGTCCTTATTAAAGGGAGGGGCGTCCAAGGTGAAGGAGATGATATGATGGAAGCCAAGGTCAGGTTTGCAGTGCTCCATGGCTGGCTTTGAAAATGGAGGGATGCAGCTGTCCTCCAGGTTGGTGGAAATGGCATGGAAAGAAATTCTCCCTTGTATGTGAGATGAAATAAATGGTGTAAGAATGTCCAGAACACTAATGAGAAATGTTTTTTTGTAGTTACTGGGGTATTAATATCTTCTTAATGAATTTGTTAACACATCTAGTTTTCATAAAGCTGATTCTGGAAGCACTTTGCTTTTTCACAGTTGGGATTACTGAGCGTACTGGGCTTTTCCTGTGACTATGCCAGGATTCTGCCCTCTTGAGTTGTGGTTGTGATTCTGAGCCTGGTCATGAAGAATAATAGGTTCCTCATAAATAGTAATGATGATGCAAAAGCAACCATCATGTCCTCCTTGATAGGACAAACAGAACCAGACACAGCCATGAGCACTTTGCCCATTACTGCTCCTCCCACACAGGGCACTTTACAGGGAAGAATGTGGAGACCCAGACAGGTGATGCAGGTTGCCCGGGGTCTCACAGTAAGTGGTGGAGCTGGGATCAGACCAGTCAGCCTGACCCTAGGCAGGTACTCCTGACCACCACTAAACACCCCAGTGTACTGCCTCAGCTGCTGCAGGAATGGGGGTGGGGGGGTACGGAGGGACTTCCCAGCTGGGAGTGCTGCAGTGGGGATGGGGGCAGGGAGGGGCCAGAGCACCTATAGGTTCATCCAGGCCTTCTGGAGGTTATCACTGCCCTTGCCTCAGTCCTGTCAAGTCTCTACCCATACCACGGCTTCATAGTCCAGACGTAACTAGACTTTTCTGTAACTCAGCTTCCATCCGACCAGCCTCCTAAGTTTGGCTTTAAGCAATCTCACCCATGCGTCTTATGCTTTGGGGAATGAATTTTGAGATTTGAGCTTGCAATTAATTCTAAGTTATTGGAGACCCTTTTTGTCTCATGTCTGTAGAAACAGCCACCCTACCCTGAAGGGTGAGCCTTTCTCTTTCCAATTCCCTAATTCCCCATGGCTTTTCTCTTCTGTGAAACTGCTTAATTAGTTGGCACACCTCCATGGTCACGGGCTGCTCCTTCCCAGCCTCAACATGACACTGTTTTACAGCTTCCTCCCTCGTAGACCCAGTTCCAAGTACTCCATTTGCTCCTGAATCCCAACTCTGGACAATTTAAAGCATGGTGATTTTAAGGATGCTAATTATCTTTGAAGGAAGAATGGATCAACCACATCTCAAAAACAGGATGCAGGATAGTCCTGGGGAATCTCAGCAGCAGAACTCAAGGCTATTTCCTTAGGCCATGCCATCAGGATGGCTCACACCATCTGGCCTCTGCCCTTGAGTGACACCATTTATGTAGCAAGATCAAATTGGGAGGCTGATGTAGTTGGCACTCCCCTCGCTGTTTGCAACTCTGAAACCTGGGGCAGAACCATCCTTAAAGAAAGGAAATAGTTATTTTTATTTATGTCTGGCCTACTTTCAAAAGGTCCTTTAATGAATCACACTTCTGTTGTCATCTGATAAGTACTAATTTTATAATCTAGATAATATTTACTATGTGTAACTGAAATGTACTATAATTATGGACCATCTGATGCTATTTCATTGGTGCAGACCTATATTTTTTGTGCTCTTTTTTTCTGTTTATCACTAGGGGCATTATTGATGTCTGAGGACCCTAATCTGGGGCCTTATGAGTGACTGCATTTGAATAGTGTGCTCTTGATTTTCAGTGTATATAATTAAGAACTTGAATGTTCTTATATTTATATTTAGACTTTATATTCTAATATTTTTATATTTAGATTTTAGGTCTAATAGTCTGTGAAAAAGATTTAAGACTAAAATATTTTCTATAGAAATGATATTTAAGTTCTTATTTTTGTAAAAAAATGCCTTAGTTCCCTTCCAAGTACCTTAGTGAACGAATGTAATGCTAGTAGTGGTGACATTGAGTATTATGGAGAGTTAGGAAGCTACACTTTTTCCTTCCTGTGCAGATGATTTATTGTTTTGTTTTGATTTCTGGCTGACTGCTTAATGCTTTATCCTTAAAACATAGACATTTCCCTGGGATGTCTTTGAATGTTTCTCTTCTGTTATTATTTTTTGACTACTCAGTCAAAAATCTTTTATAGCTGAGATATATTGCATAATGTTTTGCATAATGTTCAGCTGCTCTCTTAGTTTATTTTATATTGACTATCTATAGCTCTGTCCAGTTGTCCTGTCCAAATGTTAGATCTGTATTTTTTTAATCCTTTCTTATCATGACCTCTCTCTTCACTTAAACTGGGTGAAGTACTTCCAGCATCACTTACATAGAATCTTGTCATCTCTAGTAGCTCTAATTGACTTCCCAGCCATGTTGCTACATGAGCCTGATAGCCTGCTTTGCTCTCTGTAATAAAATAGCTTCAGGGTAATGGCCATTTACTTCCTATCAGGAAAATACTCCCCTCCACACACACACACACACACACACACACACACACACACACACACACACACACACACACACACCCCTATACCTCCTTGCCATATTTCTGTTAGATTTAGCTACTTGGGCAACTTGCAAGCTTTTGGTTCCACTTTCAAATGCTGCTGCTCTGCTGTGGGGCAGTCCCCAGCCTCTCTGGTCTGTCTCCTCTTAAAGTCAGGAAGCAAGCATGAGACTCGTGGGGGGCTCCTTCACTTATTTCCCAGTGGTTTGCTGCATTTTCTCAGGAAAAGGAATCAAAGGCTGGTACCTTATGTTTTCCATGTTCTGTATTTCTCTCCTGTGTGGAAAGGTTCTCAATCCTCTCTTTATTCTTAGGTGGTGGACGTGAGGTTAGGAATCAATATTTGCATTGTGATTTTAACCAATACATTTTATTTTAAAAAATGTTCTGTTATTATTAGATTCAACTACATAATTGCTATGTCTAGTTCACTAGACAAGTAGTTTGAAATGTCACAGAACCTAAACCAATTAAATATAGTTTCTTGTTTCAGTGTTCAATGATTGGTCCTAGAAATGACATGCTGATAACAGCAAATAAAATATCTGTAAATATTTTGTAAATATCTGCAGTTATATTCTGTGCCAAGTTATTTAAAGAACAGACTGTGTGGGTTGTAGCCTCCCATCTGTGAGTTACAGCATGACTGGATGCCTCAACCAAATTCTGGAGACAGTGAGGTCAGCTATGGCATAGTCCACTGGGCTTCTGTATCAAAATGCCAGGTTCTGGGGTTTATTTCCCACATCCAGAGACTGGGAAGTCCAGGATTGGAGCTCTGGTAGCTTCAATGTCTGATGAGAACCCCATTCCTGGGTCATAGGGGGTCATCTTTTCTCAGTGTCTGCACATGGCAGAAAGCAAAGGGAGCTGTCCAGAGCTGCACCCTGGGGGTCTGGTCACCTCCTAAAGCTGACCTCTCACCATCACATCGGAGTTGAGATTTCAGCATATGGATTTGGGGGTGGGGACACAAATATTCAATCTACACTAGTTTTTTTTCTCAATATATTTTATTTCATTGAGTTGACATTGGTTTTCATTGTTGTTTGTTTTAGAAGTATAGGATTCCCCCTTCAGGTATTGTTCCATAGCGCACCAGACCATCCCACTTAATACTGTTAATTAGGTTTTTTAATCTACTCATTTGAGATTTGATTATTGATTTTGCCCATAATATCTTTTCCATCAATGGTGTTGTACTTGTTTTATATGATTTCTCCTGCAATGTGAAAGTAAAAGGTACCTAGTAGATGTGATTTGCTAGATTTTCCTCTGGGTCCACTTATGTTTAGTTTCTGTGTAAAAATGAGACTCCCTATACCCAAAAACTCATCTGCCAACTTCAGTCAAATAGATATGTTCTACCTTCAAAGAGCAGGGCAAACCTGTATCCTCTGCTGAGTAAAATATCGCTTCAGAAATTTGTGAACTTTGCATGTTTGTTTAAGGCAAAGCATGAAATGTGGTGTGTAGTTCACAGACACTAATAAAGAAATGTCTTCCTAGAGTTTTAGCGGGAGGTCACGGGGACATGAAGGCAAACCTGGCCCGTAGCATCCTTCTCCTTCCATATGTGCAGACATCAGAGTCCATGTGTGAGCCTCTGCTGTGTCTTTGCCTCCAGGGAGGACGAGCACGCCCTCATCCAGCAGTACTGCCAGACGCTCGGCGGGGAGTCCCCAGTGAGCCAGCCCCAGAGCCCGGCTCAGATCCTCAAGTCGGTTGAAAGGGAAGAACGCGGTGAACTGGAGCGGATCATTGCTGACTTGGAGGAGGAGCAAAGGTGCGCTTGGCAGAGGGAAGAAGCAAGCCAGCTGGGGAAACCCTTTCCTAATAGTGTCCACATGGCCCTGCCCATTCTCTTTCCTGAACTATTGTCAGAGAAGTCACTGAGGAGTCGAAGTTTAAAAGTTGGGCGCTGGTTGTAGATTGCAGCAGCATTTGGGGGCTCAGGGATGATATCTAATGGAATACTTGTTTTTCAAGGCATAGTTTTATCCATGCTTGCTCATCTTACTGTTTTTACCTAAGAGGAAACACTGAGCATGTGCTAAATTTGGGGCTTCAGTTTTGCAGAGATGATGATGTACACAGGTGTGATTCCAGCTTTTTCTTCTTGCTGTTAGAAATCTGCAGGTGGAATATGAGCAGCTGAAGGAGCAGCACCTGAGAAGGGGCCTCCCGGTGGGTTCACCTCCAGAGTCAATTGTATCTCCTCATCACACGTCTGAGGATTCGGAACTTATAGCAGAAGCGAAGCTCCTCAGGCAACACAAAGGTCGGCTGGAGGCCAGGATGCAAATTCTAGAAGATCACAATAAACAGCTGGAGTCTCAGCTGCACCGACTTCGACAGCTGCTGGAACAGGTGGGGTGTCAGAAGTCCATGTCACCTCACCCCACCACACCCCCATCTCCCAGGACCGTGGTCCCAATGTCAGTGGAGAGGTCCACTTTGCATTTCTCACCTCCATAATTAATTCAGACTGGTTTAGCAATCCCTCTTTAAATATAAACAATAAATCTTCACTGACACAAAAAATGTGTTTGCCTAACTTGTGAAGATGCAATTTCCTATTCTTCAAAACTGATATCTGTCTCAACTCTGAATAGTTTAAAGGAAAATATCCTATAGCCTACATCTGCATAACTGCAATGGGAAACGTATGTTAGATTAAAGGATAGTAAGTGGCCTAAACTCTTTATAGCTAAAGCTTTTCTTCCACTGACCTATTTTCAAGAAGTTCAGTAGCAGATGTTTATTAATTTCCTGCTATTATTTCCAAACACTAAACTGTATTTTATGGCAATTGATTCCGTACTTTTTTTGACAATAAAAAAATACAATTTACAGTATGATGACTGAATACATGTATGCTGAATACAGAATAATCACTTGTTCTGGAGAAATGCTGTCTCATTTCCTATTTTTTTCCCTTCTTTCCCTCCTGTTTCTCCCTCTTTTCTCCTTTCCATTTTTTTTTCTTTCTTAGCATTGGTCATAACCTCCAAATAGCATTGGACATAACCTACCAAATAGCACTGGGCATAACCTACCAAATAAATTTTACAACTCATCAATAGGTAAATGGTGTGCAATTTTGAAAAACACTGTTTTTTGGGATACAAAAGAAGTACCAGACACAATTTCTGCTGTTTGGTGCCTGTGGTCTTGTCTGCGTCCATACCAAGATAGTACACTATAGAGCAAGAAAGCACCATAATATATAAGATACAGGGCACTGTGGAGGGTCAGGTGCTTGCACTAGCGCTTAAAGACTAGCAGTCAGAACGAGTAATGACGGCAGAGTTGCCGCAGGTGAGAGTCATGAAGAGCCCCGCCAAGTGCACCTGGGACTTCTCTTTCTTAGAGAGGCCCTGACATCAATGCTTTTGGCATCTTTTGACTTTTTCCCTGGCCTGTGTAGCATCGGATCCGTGAGCAAAGAATAGTAATGTCTTTCTCTGAAAACAGTTTATTCAATCAAAGGCAAAAAACAGCATCCAGTGATTTTCTCAAATTTCAGAAAACCACCTTTTCACAGAGCTGTCAGTGTCTCTTATCAAAAATCACTCAAAGCAGCATAATTTCTGCATTTTACCTACCTAGTGGGTCACAAGTGACCACTTATAGTTGGACCATATTCTTTTCTGTATGACTGTCCTGGCTTCAGAATTTGTGTGACACTTGTTTGGGGAAAATTCAGGGTTTCCAAAGTGCATTATTAGAAAAGTGCTTGTCCCCCCGAGAGTGATGCAAAGATTGGTTTTCTGTAAATCCTCTGGAATATTCCTTTCTTCCATTGATTCGAATCACCTAAATTGGAAAAATTACATTCTTAATATTGCAAATTTGAAGTTTCCAAAAGGTGCCCGTACAGGGATGAATTTTCTCTTGAAATCTGTTATTTAGCATGTGTGTTATTTAGGTAGTTAGTGTTAACTACCTTTCTGTTGCCTGTACACAGCACACTGACAGAAGCGGTGTGGAAGTTATCCACGCTAGAATCCTTATTTGCCATAGCCTGTTGATGCTCTTAGTGGAGCTGAAGCTTCTTCTGCTACCCCAGCTCCCCTCCTCTCTCCATCTCATTAGAGCTGCCTAATGGCTCATGTGCCTTCAGAATTGCACAGTAATGCTTTTCAAGATAGCTGATATCTAAATGGCTCTGTGTATTCCAGGCTGTGGAGCGCTTATCTCTTCTTAATGGTTTAGCATGAATGCCAGAAGTAAATGGAAAATTCAACCCTGATAGAAAAAAAAAAAAAAACAAAAACAAACCGAAACAGGCAAAACTACCAGACTTCAACTAATATAGGTTTAAGGGCAAAAGCAGCATCAAAACATTATAACTTCTGCATTGGATGGAAAATGTTGCACACTTTCTAATGGGACCATGTGCTTGTCAGTGTATCTGTCTGTCACTATTTCACAGCTTTGTGTATTAATTGATCCCCCTCACAAAACCCTCTGACATGGGCACTCCTGTCGCCGTCCACAGTTTATAAATAAGCAATCCTAGCACAGGAGGCTGTTCAGAATCACACAGCATCTGAGTGGCAGAGCTCGAATCCAAGCATCTAAATCCAAAATCATGCTTTTAGCCACTCTTCAATATTGCTTTTGAATATGGACTTAAATTTTAAAAATGAACTGACTTTGAAATACCATCAATTTTGTGTGCAAGAAGCAGTGCTAATTTTTGAAAGATGAGGAAAATGTTTCTAAAGTCATTCGGTTGCCATACAAATAACAGAAAATTTGAGGGATGAAACTGATACTGATAAATAAATCTTGCAACATAACCAAGCAAGTAAGGAGTCCAGACTGAAAGGGAAGCACCACTTGGGACTCAGATCAAGTTAGTGAACACACCCAACTGATGCTCCGAACTATTTGATGATATATAAAGTGGAAGAATGCTACATGATTTAATTATCAACCTCGTTCAGGCAGGGGTAATCCATGTTTTCCTTAATAGCTCCTCCATCTCTTTCTCTGCTCTAATCTCTGAATGTGATTCTAGCCTGAATCGGATTCTCGAATCAATGGCGTCTCCCCCTGGGCTTCCCCTCAGCAGTCTGCGCTGAATTACTCTCTGGACTCAGACCCTGGCCCACAGTTCCACCAAACAGGTCAGTGTCCCTCCCCTGGCCTGCTCTGGGCTTTGCCCTTGTTTGTTTTTGCATCCTCACACTCTTACCAAGGTCCCTTCAGGCATAAAAGAGTTTTATATTCTCTTTGGTCTCGAAGGACTACAAAGCCATTTTTTTTTTCTACAAAGCCATTTTAACAGTCCCCCAAATGCAAACATTTTTAGAAGAATAAGCTATAATACACTAGCTTGTATAATGTGGAGTAGTGGATTGAATTTTGCTGAACGGTGATAAAAGTGCTTTCTAATATTTCCTTTGGGGATGAGCAACAATTTAATGTTTTCTTTGCCTTAGGAACCTTTTTATTTAAAGTAAATATTCTGTCTCTAAATTTTGTATTTGTACATATTCAGAATTTAATATTAAAGGACTCTTAGTTTTTCCACCCGGATCTGGCAGCTCTCCATCCTGGTCCCTATAGAAATTGCTGCCACTTCTAGCCCCAAAGAAGGCTGGAGACCACCCAGCCTGTTCTCGGCCACAAGGGGCACCTGGCACTGTTGCCAGGCAGGACAGCAATGGGACATTCAGGAATGACATTAATCTGCAGAGTTAATTGTCGTTCTCCTGGGTCAAAATAACTTTTGTTCCTATACCTTTGTAGGTTATCTTGTAGGGTTTTTGTGGTTATTATGCATGTTTTTACTATGAATAGATACATAAGCCATAACAAACTGTTGCGAAGGTAGAAATGTTTAATTTTTTGATATTTTAAAGATATAACTTATTTTAATAAGTATATGAGTTAATTTTTCCCGCCATCATCCTTTATGCCCATTTGACCCTTTCACCCACCCTCATCCCTCTTGACCTCAGAAGGCTTCACTTCTGTCTTTGCAAGCATTTGCTTAGTTAGATGGTGGAAATATCCAGTATCTGTCTTTACCATTCTGACTTGCTTTGCTGCACAGAATTTCCTCCAACTCCTTCCACTTGCTGTAAATGGCAACATTTTATCTTTCTTTATGGCTAAATAGTATTCCCTGGCATGGATATACCACATCTCCTTAATCTAGTCCCTCTCAGTAGGTTGTTTTGAGGAGTGATATTTTGTTATCAGTGAAATTCAAGTTCTAAAATTCTTTTGAGGACACATAATTTGATCAACTTAATTTCTTCACCTTTTGGTACGTCAGAAGAATACTAAAATATTAATACTATTTTGATTTGATTTAAACAAGAAAAATGTCTTGTTATTCATTATATAATTAACATTTTAAAAGTAAAAATTTCTTACAAATTTCCTGTAGTTTTGTGGCAGCATAAGCTAGTCTATGTTGAAATCTCCAAAAAGAAAATATTTTTTTGCATTAAAAAAAATACTTTCAGTGCAAAATAATGAAACCCCCTACCCTCGTATGCTGAGTCTTTCTACAGAAACATCTGGTACATTTTATTTATGTAAAGTTATATTATCAGTAAAATAACACAAAAATAGTTTTGTTATTTTCCCCTAAAGTTGTCCTTCACAAGGTGATGGTACTCAGTGCTAGCATTTTCTCCTGAAGTGGGTTTTGAAAGAAGCCGGACCTTAATTTTCCAAAGTGTGACCCTTGTATCTGCCATCCTAGCAGCGGAGGACCTGCTGGCCCCGCCCGGGGACACCAGCACTGACCTGGCCGCAGTGATGGAGCAGATCAACAGTACGTTTCCGGCTTGCTGCCGTGAGTAGACCTGAGCTCTGCTGCTCCACCTCTCCCTCTGCTTCTCTTTTCCTACCTAGTGCCCTTACTGCTCTTTGCTTAGATAACAAAAGCTGATACTAGAAACAGGATTGACTATTACTTGAAAGTAAGTCAAACAGTCTATCTGTTGACAAAGAGAATGAAGCTCCACTGAGAGCCCATTACATGGCTGGGTGCAGGGACAGTGCCATTCTGTTCTTTGAGGTTTTCCAACCAGCTTTATGAATGAGAATAGAAAGGCAAATCAGTTAAGTCTTGTTTTTAAGAAGAAATGGACTTCTTCAATGCAAGCTATAGTAAGACCCATTTATTATTAGTTCAAGAAGTGTTTTTAGGGGCATGCCAAACAAGGCCAGAAAATAACCTTTTCTAACATAATTCCGTCTCTTTTCTTCAGACATTGTCCTCTGATGTCATTGGGTTTAGATGCAGAAAGGGATTATTTTCAGCTTTCCCCTTTTTTTTATTCATTCTGCTTTCTTTTCTCATGGAGTAAAATAATCTCTATCTAAAGACCCAACAATATAAGGCATCATTGATTATGACCCTGTGAATTTTCCAAAGCCAGGGAAATAATGAATAAAAATAGCCCAAATCCCAGAGGAAATTATATAATGGTTCTTATTTATTGATTTTTCCTAAGTTTTGTCTCCAGCCTCTTGCCATCTTGCAGTTTCTGCTGAACTCTCAGCAAAATGCTTCTGCTGTTTTAAAAAGAAAGTTTCCCTGCACATGCAAACATACTACTTAATATTAAAATTTTATTTTAAATAATCATTAAAAATATAAATACATTATTTATAATTTTATTGGGTGGATTTTTTTCCTCAAACTAATTTTTAGATCTAGACAACTATTAAACTGTGTGTGCATATATGTACACACTAGAAAGGTGAGGTGAGAAGCTATTTCATTTATACTATGTATTGTATATCATATATGTTCGATATATACTTTATATGATGCATCATATATGTTGTGCATGTGTTTAGAGTATGTTTACATTTATTTGTAAAGAGGATATTTAAAACCACTTTTTATCTCACCTTTTTTCATCCTTCCTTTGGAAAATACCATCCTAAAGGAGGAAAAACACAAAAAAGACTCTACCTGAATGCAAATTAGTAATATATATTAACTTCATTTTAAAATGTTCCCTTCAATTTATACCATTCTACAGTTTCCAAAATCCCATCATTAGCAGAATTGAAAACAGTTCTTTGAAAATATGATCCCTGAATTTTCAGAAGCAAAGACATGTTACAGTTTCCACAAGCATATAGATCAGTTATATCTGTATCAATTATATCAGTTTGTCATTTCCCAGGGTGTGACTTGTAATGCTACTTCTTCAAAGTGGCTTAATCTTATTTACTGCTTTTCATTCCCCACACTCAAAAAGCTGTGTGTGTCTGTGTGCATACACACATGCAGACATTATCATACATTGTACATACATGTACACACTGCACACACATGCACACACCACACATGCCCACACCATGCGCATATGTACACACCACACCGATATGCACATTGTTCATACATACACACCCTATAGGAATGCAGAGATATGCATTGCACATACATGTATACATCATGCATACACATACACACACATACATTTTGACTCTCCAGAGTCTCACAAAAGCTTCAGGGAGTCAGTGGAAACCTAAATGTTTTCAGATTGTTTCTTGTTTTCTAGGCTTTGTAATGACTATCATAGATGAGTATATTAAATCTTTTATTTTGATTATAATCTATGATTAATTTTTTATATTTTTTGGTTCGGAGTTGTATGCTATCTATTGGCTACATGAAATCTCATCATTGCTTTATAAGCCAGGATTTCAAAATTAAATTTCTAAATGAAATTACTGTTTTAGTTCAGTTCAAATCCAAATATATTAATGATTATTTAATAACAAATTCTGTAAGTCAGTGCTAATTTGGAAGTTTTTATTAAATGTCATGGTAGACATTTTCAATTTAAAAGTCAGTTGCAGTAAGAGCTAAAATATAAACAGTGTTTAAATATAATTTTATATTCATAGTGGATATAAAATATATAACTTCCTTATTAAAATTTTTATATAAAAATTTAATAGTGTGTCATTTTAAAAGTTTAATTTTCTATCCATTTCGTAGTACAGTCTCATATCTATATATTGTAAAATATTGATTTATTTCTTGTTTTAGAAAAGACTAATTTTAAAAATAATAATAATAGTTATAGGGCAAAATGAATATTAAAAAGATAGTATGTTCATTTCATTTTATGTCCTCCCTCAAAGGCAAGTATAAAATTCCTATTCACCAGAATTATATTAGCTGTTAATGGATATTACTGGTTCCTGGATAGAGTAGGTATTTTCAGTGGATCCCACATCATAGATTAAACCCCGACTTCTCATTGGTGTCCTGTCCATCTGTGTCATCTATATGGTGAGGGTGGTTTAGGGAGCCCCAGGATTTCTTACTGGGATGCTGACCTGCTCTTACAGTTTTAGGTTTGTGCATTCACAAATGTTTATGACACATATAAGTTCTCAATGATGAGTGTTACTAGTCACATTTTACTCTGAAAAACGCAGTTATATCCCATGTACAAGAAATTATGAACATTGTGATGTAGAATCCTTTGGAATTTAGATCCTATAATTTGTTTTCTGAAGTTCTGCTATCATTTTAGGTTTAGGTTGTTCTTCTTTGCATTTATATTTTACTTCTATAAAATAAAGATCTCTAAAATGGGGCCACTTTCCTAAAAGGAAAGACTTAATTGTCTTATTTGTAACATTGATAGATATTTTTAAAATTCTGCCTAAAGGCCTTCCCTGGTGGCTGAGGGGTTATCAGTGCTACCACCAAGAGACCCCTCCCGCAGCAAAGCGGCCTGAGTTCAATCGCTGGCCAGGAAGGTGACCCACATGGCACAGCAGACCTTTCCTGCTTCGACCGCTGTGCCCCTCAGCAGTGTATTTCAGTGAATCTGCCTGTTCTGCTCCCTACTCTGTCTCTGGTGAATCCTCTCACCCCCGGAACCTCTGGCCTACATCCTAGTTTTTCTACGCAAAAATAAATAAAAATCTTATAAGAAAGGAATAATTCTAAAAAAAACCTAAAACTCTGCCTAAAATTATCAAACCTTTAAAAATTGATGCAAAATAGAAATGAGTACTTCATATAGGATTGGTTCTTAATACGTGTTTCTAAATGGATTGAATTAGTGAATGAATGATTTCATTTTATTACTAGGAAGTTTCCCCAGATAGTTCTCAAAAGGTTCTGTGTGATTCATTTGCTTTGTTGCCACATTTAAGTTGCTCGGTTTGCAAATAATTTAATAAGCCTTCACATTCCCAAAGCTTACTGACCACCTTTGGAGAATTTTTCTAAGCAAATCGGATTGGCACTCTCCCAATATCAAGCAAATCCCTTGAGCCCCTGTAACTAATGAGAACTTTAAAATTGCTTGTCACCAGCACACAATGAATTGATCTACATGTTAATTTGACTTTTGATCCTTGGTGGATTAAAAATTAGCCTGGTCACACGTGAATTTCCACTCTTGGAAATCTTAGCCTTAAAATGAAACTGTATTTATAAACCCTAATTTTATGAATTGCCTACTTAACCATGACTTTTTTTTTTTAACTGTGCTGTATATTGTTGCACATACCACTTTAGAATTCCTCTGTCTTAAAGTAATATCCCAGTAGGTCCCGTTAGCATCCTTGAATTTTGGTCTTTTATAGTCTTTTTAAATTATTTACATTGAATTTCAGACCAGAGAAGCAGGCATTCCCATCTCTTTCTGGCAAAGCATTAATGAAGGGAATTTAATTGTGTTGCCTAATAGCCAACATGTATACTAAAATTTCCATGGGCTGCTGTAACTAGTTGAGTTTCTTTGGTCATTTTTTTTCATTTATATCATAAAGATAAATATTCTTGTGATAAGTATTTTTTGCTGTTATAACAACAAATTCTTCAAAATTAATTTTTATCTATAAGCGGTTTTCATTATGAATTGCCTCTGTTAATTAAGCTTTAGTGGCATTGATCCAAAACTCAAAACATACTAAAATGGAATGATTTGATTTCTTTTAAAAATATATTCATATAATTTGTTATATATATATATATATATATATATATATATATATTTCTTTCCCTCATTCTGTGCCATGGCCAACACTGCCACCCTGTGAGGTGACACTGGACGTCTGTGGAGGCCCATATTTCATTCCTTAGGGGAGATGCATACTCTGCCTAGTGTGTACTTAATTTACATTCAAGTAAGCTGCTCCTTGGGTGGAGCTCACATGCATGATGAGTGAGGATGTCTGTTCTTTTCCCTGATGTGTATTACACATCTGGAGTCTAGGCTGGTTTTAGCCGGGTTCTTACTCCCAGTACCATCATGGCCTGTACTTTTCCTACAGGCACCACAGGAAGATTGCCCTTCTAGTTTGCTCATTTGTTTTTCTCACAAAACTACTGTCACTGTGTGTCACATTTGTCCTTTTTCCCCGTCAGTGCAGTAAAATGAATGATAGGAGGAGTCACCAATGCTAGTTGATTAGGAATGATTCCTCTTAGATCCATCTCTGGGGGGAAGCTCCTTGTTTTTTTCCCCCAGGATCAGTATAAGATAGTAAGTTTGTTCTTTTACTTGAAAGGGAGTGCCTGTAGGGAACAGACTTACTGGCGGCTGCTTTTATAACGCCCACCAGGTCAGGGTCCCAGGAAGGAGTTGAACTACTCTGGTGCAGAGGCAAACTAGACACGATATTCTTATTTCTCTGATGCTCTAAGACACAATTTCTCTGATGCTCTTGGGATCTTTCCAAGACACAATTTTAGTCTAAGGTGCCTAGAGGATGGCCCAGGACTAGGTCAGCACTTTCCTTGATATAAGGACCTCACCACGCTAACCTTTGGGGCAGTGTGGGTAAAGGCTGCCAGCAAATGAAGGATGCACCTTCATTTCCCTGATGTCCTCTTGGTTAGAATTTGTACTTTTCAACAAAATACACAGAACTTGCTCTGTTTTGGTCCATCAGCCAACTGCATAGTATGATTTAAATAAGAGATTTTAAAATTTTTTGCACACATGTTTTGCATATTTTGGTGGAGTTTTTGTATCTTGAAGTTCATGGATAAGAGAAACTAACTGGGAAACTAACCCTTGTTAAAGCACCTAGCCAAAAAATCCAAAAAGCTGTTTCTTATTTTCTTATTAGCATCCATTTAACGGCTGGGAGGGGTATATTCCACATTTCCACATTCCTGGAGGGGGATCCAGCAAAGCAGCAGTACCAACTTCAATTGATTTCTTTTGTTTTATCTTTCAGCAAATCTCCCCAGCAGACCACAGGTAAGTTAATGGATTGAATGGCTCAAGGGTGGTTGATCACCACCTACAGTAATCAAATGGATTTTAGACTTCAGTACTACTTTATCCCCCATGGAAACGACCGTACTTACTTAACATGTAATGTTAGTTGTTAGAGCACTGTAGTTTGTCAGTCAGTGGGGCGGGGTCCTTGCTATGTCAGTTATTCCAGATGTCAAAAATAACACATGCTTGATCTCTGTGTTCTAATAGCTTTTTAGCAGTATCAGGCCCAACTTACCCGACAGATGTGGCCGACCATTGTTCTTTCAGATATCTCCATAAGGTGATATTGTCTTAAAAGCACATTGACTTAAAAGCACATTGACTTAAAAGCCCATGGCTGGTTTTGTTTCTTGGTGGGGGAAAATATTCTAATTTTTTCATTTAAAAATTGTACCAAGAACTGTTGTCAGCTCTAGCTTTATGCCTCTCCTACCAGACACTTATAATAATAATGTGCCACAAAATCATAGTAGGTCTTTGGGGAACATTTTTTTCCATGAATTTTTTTATTAATTTTTTAGAAACAAAATTTTCTGATTGTATTATGGTCTTATTAGCAAGAGGGCAAGACTCTTAACAAGAAGTACAGAGGGGCCTCCCCGGTGGCACAGCAGGTTGAGTGCAGCGCTATGAAGCTGTCACAGCCTCTGCAGCACTAGTTCTATTCCCGGCCGGCCAGGGAGATTCCCACATGGCACAGCAGACCTCTCCTGTCCAACCGCTGCTCCCCTTGCAGTGTATTTCAGTCAGTCTGCCTGTTCTGCTCCTCACTCTGTCTCTGGTGAATCCTCTCACCCTAATGTGCCTCTAGCCTGTACCCCAGCTATTGTATTAAAAAAATTCTTTAAGAATAAAAGAAAAGCACAGAGAATTTGTGTTTAGTATCCGGAGGGAGAACAAGGGGCTATGAAGTCACATTAGTGAGAGTAGTGTAAGAGTTCTTAAGAAGTACCTCACCCTGGGGAGCAAGGCCTCTTCTGATGGCCTCTGTCATCTTGTGAATTGGAAGCTGGGGCTTCAGCAGAGAGTGGGGGACAGGGAGGTGATGCCAGAGGTGTAGGGAGAGATTAGAGGATGTACCACTGCTGCTTGGAGATCAGGAAAACAGATGGATGGGGGTGTAGAGTGTAACTGCCAGTCAGCACTAGAGGCTACGACTTTAGGTGCCAACTCATGAATTTAACATGAGTCCCATCTGCAGGTCTGTGTGTTCCTCTCTAGCCACATTCAAGTTCATGAGCACAGGAACAAGAACAGACCAAGTATTGCTGTTGATCAAGGTTGAAGTTGTGGTTTGACCAAATGAGTACAGCAATTCAAGGGAAGAGAGCAATGATGATGATGATGATGATTGAACTGCACGCCTAAGTTTGTGAGAGGAGAAGGGAGGACATGGCAGGTGTAGGAGAGAAAAAAGGGCGGCAGGGTTAGTACATGGTCATCTCAAAGGAGAATTGAAGCAGGTACCTTGGGAAAGTAAGCTGGAAAGGTAAATTTGGTAGTTGAGAGGTAGGATAACTAAAACTGGAGCGCTGAAGGGGTTAGAGGTCCTAATGGTGATCCATAATGGCATTTGGGTGAGTAGCTAAAAAGGGCAGAGGACAGGATTATTGGAGGAGAGCAGCACAAAGAACCGAGAGGCCAGAATGTGGGAAGAATCCTTTGTGTGGCTATTGAAATCACTAAGACTTAAAAACAACTTTAAGGTGGGTGACAGTGATCCATTTCTTCTTCAAGAAGTGGTGGAACGTAACCCAGTGGATCAGTAGGTGACTTCATAGTGCCTATGAAATTAGTCTGGTGGCATGAAATTCAAAGCTGGATTTTTTTTTAAAAAAAAAGCAAAGTAAATGCCCTAAAAAGTACCAAGAGGACCTAGGAAGGACTTACCCAGGATATGAGCTTCCAGCTAAAAGGAGTCACATGAAAGGCTTATAGGGGAAGCTCTGTCTTTAGGGGAGAATCAGGTAATGATTAGAGCAAACGAGATGCAATCGGGGAAGAGTTTGAGGATATGGATCTTAATGGTGATAATGGACCATGTGCTCTAAAGGACACGGGGAAGAGTTTCAAGAACCAGAGAGGTTGAATGTGGGGCCAGAGTAAGGAATGCCTGGATCTCTATATGGAGCAGCAACCAGGAGGCAAAAGGTAACCATGAGTCTAGAGCATTTATGGTTGCCCGATAAGGAACTTGGCGAGATGAGTCCTGTTGCTCCCCAGGGCTAGGCGAGGCCAGGCGAGGCTGTGAAGGGGTCAGGAAGGGGACAGGCAATCTTTTTAAAATTCTCAAATACTTTAGAACACAAATGTTCAGCTTTTAAAGCTGAAAGTGGCCTTGGAGACTTTTTCTCATTAGTGTCTCCTTCTCTGTTCGCTGGGCCTACCCTTGTTGGCACTAATTCGCAGTCCCATTGAATGTGAATGTGTCCTCACACCCGCTTTATTACGAGGGTGTCTCATCTTAGTATGCAGGGGCCCAACACATCCCAAAAGGTGCCCTCTAAATGGCAATGAAATGTTCAAGACAGAAACAAGTTTCTGAAATATCCCAGTTTCAAGAGCAATGGAGAATAAGCTCTAGATGAGTCAAGATGAGTTTGTTGCTTCTGGCTGCCTGAGAGAAGGGACCCTTGGGTCATCTTTCCAGACACTGTGCTAGAAACACAATTTTGGGAGTGAGCAGGGCCTCACTCCCAAGCCCTCCATAAAATAAAGACAAGTATCTGTGGGTCTCCTGAGGAGCAGATGGATGGGGGTGTAGAGCTCCTCCTGAGGAGGAGCTCTGTGGTCTGTTCAGCATGTCCCAGGTGGGAGTATCTCTTCTCAAGGCAATTAAAGAAAAATACCTCCAACTTCCAAATACATTTAAAAGTATTTGACTATTCAAACTATTTGACTTGCCCTTCAAGAGGTTGACACAACTCCCTAAGTGTGGCCTGCACTTATAGCCTCTCTTGCCTACATGCACTGGCCCCGAGCCTTGAACTGGCAGCGTCACACACCTTTGTGCTGAGATTCCTGTCTTGTGTCCCTCTTGTCTGGACCTCCCCCCTCACCCCCTAACACCACCCCACCCCGTGGGATGAAGCCCAGTTGGAATTGTGCGTGGTACTTGCTTTGCAGCAGACCTCCCACAGCCCTTCGGAAAAAGGAGCTTCCAGAAGCCTTACTCTCCAATGGTACTTCAGCAAGCTAAACACAAGTCCCTTCTGTTTTAACTTGGTTTCCAGCCTGAGCAAGAGAAAAGGCTTCCAGACTCCCTCTATGTCAGCTCCAGAAATAAAAACCAGACAAGGTGACTTGAGGAGGAGAGAGAAGACCCTCATCCTAGGAAACCAAAGTCACTTGGGAGAAAGGATCTTATTTAAACACAGTATAATTGGCATAGCCTCATTCTGCAAGAAGCACTTGTGTTTCCTTAAAGAATTGACAGGTCTCTGCTACCTGTAGCATTTTATGTAAATTGTGTTCTAACAGTAGTGTTTACCCTCCCCACAGGCAATGTGAAGTGTTCATCTCGCGAATCAGCATTTCCTGACGTACAGTATTGCCCTTTTCAGCAAATGCCAATTCCAAGTTCCATTTGATCAGAAGCTCCATGGCCCCTCAGACATGCTGAATGTTGGCTGTGTGTCTACTGGAGTAAAACACTGACTATCCAAAGAGAAAAGGATATTTTGTTTTTATAATAATCATATATTATTATTTTCTTCTTCCCTTTCTATGCAACTGTAAATTAATGAACAGAGAGGTATTTGGAAACGGGAATACATTTGTGACTGATTTGTATACTGTATACAGTGTTGGGAAAGTGGGTGGGGCTTTCTAATATGATAACTTCTTTTTAATAACCATGACAAAAATTGCCTATGAATTAGAAAAGACAATTTCATGTTTTTACATTCCTTCTTGTTAACCTTGTACAATAACTTCATTTATTTCTTGGACTCTTTTGCCATTATGTTTGGTTATTTATAATTTATCAGCCACATGACCAAATAGATTCCCTGTGTTTGTTTCCATGATTTGGCCAAATTAATAAGTTCATAGGTTTCAATCAAATATTATACATATATGGGTTAAGCTACAGCTCTGTGTGTGCTATTTAACTGCATTTGACCTCATACACTTACTTTTTCAGGGCCCACTTTGGAGACCACCAGAAAAATCCTGTGGGCTCACTGGCATTTCTATTGGGATTTTTTTCCTCTACATTTTATTTCCCCACTCTATATAAGTAGACCTTGATTTCTTTATTTCATGCCCTGATCTATTCAATAGAGGACACTTAAAGCAGGATAAAGGTACCCATTTAAGCACATTTTTTTATTTTGACGCAACAACAAAACTTGGCACCCATCCTAGTTTTTCCAGGTTTTGATTTTCATCATTCAATGTCCAGGATACATTTACCTGATGATTGTGGTACCAGAATCCATCAGTGTCTGGTTCCCTTAGAAGAAAATTTTGTTGCTGTTTATGTATATTCAAGACCTTTATAATTCTCAAAGCCCCCAGTTTTATTTTTTTTCTGAAAACACACAAATTTAATGCATATGTCATGTTTCTGTTGGTTAATGAATACGTGTTTTATTATCCCATTAGATCAATGTATTTGGGAAGGATTTTCATTAAGAGTCTGCTTCTATAGAAGAATGAAATTAAAGCTTAGCTGGTGTTACCCCTTACCTGAAGCGTCAGTGCATTCAGTTAGGTATTTGGTTGAGCTTCTGATTTAACATGTAATTGATTCTGTTTAAACATGTAATGTATCTACCAAATGTAGAGGAACCAAAAAAACTGAAAATAATATGTTTTGATTCACCTGGCATATGTGCTTCTAAATCATCAGGACATTTTAACTTTGGGTTCTCTTGAACTGGGATCTCTCCAGAAGGAGGCTTAAAGTTAGAAACTGCTATTCTTTTAGAATAGGTTGGGTGGGTAGGGGGCAAGGGTATCTATTTGCAGCATAGATATTTTGAGAAGAAGAAAATTGTTTTATATAAGAGGAAGCCATGACCACCTTTCTACCTCAGATCCATCTTCATCCATTGCGTTGGAAATAGCTTTATGCCGCTGCAGTCTGAAAAATCTAGAGCTTTTATCAGGCCACATATTCCCCAAGAAAAACACCTATTTAAAGAAAAGAAACTCCCTGATCTCTGAACTACATGTTGTAGATTTGGTGTCTTCCTTGTTCTTACTTTGAAAAGTCCTGTATTAATTTTTTTCTGCCTGTGTTTGTGTGAGACATGTCCTCTCTCTGCTATTAAGGAACAGCTACATAAAACACTACGTTGTAACCGTCTAAGTAATAATAAATAAAAAGAAATGTATGGCAGTAACAACAAGGGGAAATAAATATGTAGTTCTTTTGAAATATGTGGTAAAGAACTAATCATAGACTATCATCTAATCTGGTTACATGTTGTATTTTTCATCCTGAATAAAAGTAATTTTAACACAAGATGACTTTGATCTTCTTCAGCTGTGTTCACTGATTGAATCTCAACTTTGAAGTACATTTATGAAGATAAAGTATAAAGAGAGCCTGTATCTTGATAAATCTGCATATTTCCCTGCAATTTCTCAACACGAATACATTCCCTCTCTTGTCCTCATTGTCTTATTCTCTGTGCCCCTCTCTTTGAAATACATATATTTGAAATAAGTATGTATATTTCTCAATTTCCTTTATAGATAGAAGGCTTACTCATAGGGGAAAAATGTTGAATGTTAAAAATAAGTACAGAAGCCTATTGAGACTTAGTTTTAATAACTTGGGAGCTATTGGTGTTTCATTGAATCCTTGCAAATCCACTTTTAGCCTCCTGCTCTTAAATAATGTGCTTTTTCTATGTGCACTGGGTTCTAACCACTTTGATAGTCGGTTCAATCCATTTCTGAAGCCCCCCCACGGGGAACAGTATTGAGAATCATGTTACTTGAGTCTAACGTTAAAAGCTATCTATTAAGTAGAAAACCCCCCAAACATATAATTTGTTAAAATAAAACCAACATTCTATGGAGCGTATGTTTTAAACATCCTGTCTGCCACAGAGTAATATTTGCATTAAATATTCCTACAGATACATTTGTTGCTTGCCAGCAAACTGTTGAGTAGGTAGCTGAAAATGAGAGTAAGGACAAATGAAAGAAAAATTTTATTTTTATAATAAGCTTTCAGCTTTTTACTTCTCTCTAGCACTGAGATTTTATATATGTATTAAAAAAAATGCAGTTGCTCTTGGATTTTTGTCCCCCCTTCATATTTCATGTACAGAAACACCTCTCTTTATTCATTATTTGAGAGTTTATTTTTTATTTATGCATACAAGAACGGGTACAGGCCAGAGGTGTGGGGGTGAGCGGATTCACCAGAGAGAGTAGGGAACAGAACAGGCAGACCGACTGAAATACACTGCTGAGAGCAGCAGGCGAGACAGGAGAGGTCTGCTGCGCCATGTGGGTCAGCTCCCTGGCCGGGCATTGAAATCGTGCTGCAGAGGCTGCAGATAGCTTCACACTGCTGTGCTTAACCCCTTGTGCCACCAGGGAGGCCCCGGTATTTGTGAATTTAATGAAAATACACTAAAATACCACAAAATACTATATATACAGTCCAAAAACTTCACTGATGTGTAAAATCAGCCTGTGTCTTGTGAGGTTAATTTAGTTACCAAAGTGAGCCTGCTGTGGAGTCCAGGGCCACCACTGTCTCATCACACCCACCACCTGTGGTGGGGGTCTGCTTGCCACAAAAATGCTGTGGGAATCATAAACCTCCATAGTAAGCATTTGTTTACCTCATGGCGTGTGGAGCTGAGCTCATCTGGGCAGGATCCTTGATGCCATCCGGCTTTCCACATGCCTGGACTTCTCTGGTGGATGAGGGCTGTGGGCTGGCTAGACTGGCCTGCAGCACCGGCTGGGTCCTCTCCACCAGCCAGCTAACCTGGGTAAGTGCTCATGCACTGGCACTAGTGTGAGCATGCAAATGGAGGTCTTAGCTGAGAAATGGCACAGCATCACTTCTGCTGAATTCTTTTGGTTTCAGTACAGCTGGATATAGAGAATAGATTCCACCTTAGTGAGTGTAGGGTCAGTGAATCTGGCTTTTTACACCACTAGCCTTTGTGGCTGTCACCTATGGCCTTGATCATGCTAACACAGAAGGCATGTGGGTGTGGGGCATGTGTGCCTGATTGTGGACACCTGGAACATGGGTGTCAGCGCATGTGCAAATGTGCACACCTGTGCCTACAAGGGAGGGGATAAAAGACGGTGGTGTTGCCCTGGGGCAGGGAGTTCAAGTTGCTGTCTCCCTGCTGGCTTGTTTCCTCTGCTTAATGTTAAAACCTGTGAAGATGACGCCAAGGGCTCCAAAGTTCTCTTTTAAACATTTAGAACCAATGGTAAACATAACTGCAGAGTTCCAGGACCAAGGGTGCAGCTGCAGAAAGGGGTCATGAGGCTTCACCCTCTATCCACTTAGGAAGGCAAAGCCCGTAGCTCAGGCCCAGAAAAAAAGTGCCCATTTCCTTGGCACTGTTCCTGACCTTCGCCTCAGTGGAATGGGAAGGAGCCTTGTTTTCAAGATCATCTTTTAAAACAAAGGTCAAGAAAATTAAAGCCTTTCCACTTCTACCACCATTTCAATTTCAGAAAGAAGCACCACATAGAAGCATTTAGAATGTCTTTCTCATGCCCTAAGAGATGTCAGAACTATAAAATAAAGGGGGGAAAAGAAAGAAAACTGGATGAGAAACAATGGGATAGTGTAGGCTGCTCAGAAGTCTTATTCAAACAGAATAGCATTGTGCTGGAACGACACGCAGGAGTTCCTTCACCTTGGCCAAATGAGCAGAGCACGCGTGAAGCTTGCCTTGTTAACTATGTCCTCAGAACAAATGAATTGTGTACTCTGGATAAACTTACCAACTTGGCATCTCCCATTTTGAAATCATTCTAATTGGTGACAAAGTTTTCATATTTTACATTACTTGCAGTTGACATCTACACTAGGATTCAAATAGTGCAGCTTTTGCAAATAGCTTTTCTACTGTTTTGACTTCTGTATGTGGGTAATTAAGAAAAGTTAATTGACAATTTGCCCTCAGCCTAACTCTGTCCTCAGTCCAGAAATCACAAATGTTGAATTTGTATTTAAACAAGAGTTCCCAGGCTATTACAGGATGTAATTACAAATAATTCCTAATATTTATTAAGATCACTTTTCAGAACAACTAAAATAATGTTATTTAAATTTCACTTGAAATCAATTTTCTCCTTTTAATTTAGGGAAAATAAAATGACATTATAAAACTGTTGGAAAGAATTGAATCATCCGAGTGTAAATCAGACCAGAATGAGCCTATCAAAATCTAGAAGGGTCTTATTCATTGTACCCCACGAATCTCAGAGGCTGTGCTTACTCAATGAAAACTAGATGACCTGAGCCACTGCCCACGATGCCTGCAATGGAGCTTCCAAGCTCACCCTGCCCACTCCTGGTCCTACATCCTGATCTCCCCACATTTACCCTCACAGCATCTGTCGTTAGGGATGTCTGATCCAAAGTGCTGCTTAGTAGAGAACAAAATGCATGCTGGACACCATGTCCCCAAAGTATTGATGGTGAATTAATAGAAGTTTAAAAGGTATGTAGGGTGTTAAACTTGGTCAGGATTCTGCATTGACTTTGAATTTAGTGGTTATTGCTTCATTGAAAACAAAGTAGCCAAGTAGCCAGGACAGGAGACAGACACTGTTCAGTTGTCAGAAATAGTGAGGGAGCAAGTCCCTGCTGCAGAAATTCCTAAATTCCTGGCAAGTGGTTACAGAAAGTGATGGGCACTGAAAGGATTAATAGGTCCCCAGAAAACATAAAGTGGACTCTAGCTCCCAGAGAGTATGTTTCCAAATATGAGTTGCAGCTCATGAGAAATATAGATGGAGCTCACCACCACTTTTAGAAACATAATATCACTGCGATGTTTCAATATGCTTACTGGTGGCATAAGAGTCCTAGGAAGGCATCAAAATGGTAACTGAAAATGAAAGGGAGGTAGAGGTATTTCCTCAATAAAAGAGTTCCATCATTAAATCTAAACTTTGAGAATACCTGCATGTTCTGATGGCCTTGGAGATTCTCCATGCACACGAGCACATTAAAAACTTTGAAAGACTAAAGTAAAGAAACCACCCAACCCTGTATCACGGCATGATTCTAATCTATTAAAATCCTGTGGTGAATACTTGGGATGCTGAATTAATATCTTATGTTTTAAAATTGCAAAATATATTTAGGTTGTGATCTCATGAAGTGTAGAAAAATGATAAGTGAAGAGTAAAACAACTGTTAGTATTAATTTAGAATGCTAAACAACAATAATCTAGTGTTGCCACAAATACATTCTTATCAGTAAAAGATATGCTAGCACACTGGTAAGAATCAAGGAAAAGAAAACGAAACTGACAATTTTCCCTCAGCTCAGCTCTGTCTTCAGTTTAGAAAACATTTTTATGTCTAGAGGGAAATGATTTCTATTTCTGAAATCCACGTCTTCCTAGATGAACCATGCATAGCAGGCACTGCAGAACCAGCCACAGATTACTAAGACAGTGGGAGCTAGGGCTGGCTAGGGTATCCACAGATTGTTTCTGAAGAGTTTATTTCCTTGCATAATTAATAATTGCAATTCCTGGTTTCTGCTCAAACTGACCAAAGCATTATGCAGTCCAACCGTGATGGCCATGCAAAGAACAGAGCTATAAACACCATTTATTTTCTCTCCTCCAAAAGACCTTTTCTTTTGTGCTCTGGTTATTTTGCATACAAGTAAAAAGCACTCTCGTATTTCCTCCCAGATCTATTTATAATGTCTTTTTTTTTTTTTAATAAAGCAAAGACAGTGTTCTAGATGGTAACAATGCATTGAAGATGTTTTCTACATCTCTTCCTTTCATGTGTTAAACAAATGTGTATGGATGATTCAATTTACTTCCCACACCTATTGATAACAAAAAGAAGAGTTCTAGGTAGCAATTATAGGAAATAGGCATTGTGTTTGTGAGCAGACCATCGTGCAGTTAGTTATAGGATCTGTGCTCTTGGGTTTTCAATGGATAAAGTGTTCACGAGGAATTCCGGAGTCAGAACAGTTTAGGACTAAACCCATGAACAGTGGGAGCCAAAATATCTGCCTTTGGAAATTGCCCGGGCTGAAAGGATAGTTAATTAATCTTAACATTTTTGAAAAGATAAGCAACACTAGATGCTATAGCATTGGGTAATGATCTATCACCTGCTTATCACCTTTCTATCACCTTCTATCACCTGGAATCTCATTAGACTCTTCATAGACCTACTGAATGAAGCTCTAGGCCATACTCAGGAATCTCCACTATATATGTCTGCTAATTTCCCACATGTCAAAATAGCCTGTCAATATGAAAAAGTTGAGTCTATTAGTAAAAGCACTAAGGGAGAAGAG